CACTATCTTTCAACACCATGTTAAGCCCTTTATATTTATCCATCCAACCACTTGAGGGATATATATTCCATACCCACTTGAGCTAAGCACTGTTGTTTGTTCTGGTTCATGAACACAAGCTCTCTGCCCTGGTGGAACCTGCAATCTAATTAGGGAGAGAGAAACTATAAATAACGTATAATGTAATTAGGCTGAAGTAAGCAAAGCAGATTAAGGAACTAGAAAGTGATGAAGGTAAAAGGAGATGAATCCCTTGATACGGTGGTCAGGGAAGACCCCTGTGAAGAGGGGACACTTGGGCAGACTCTTGAAGGAAATAAGGGAGCAGGTCATGTCTCACCTTTGGGGGAGAATAAATTTCAGGCATTCGAAACTTAAGGAGCAGAAGCCCTGAACTGGTAGTATGTTTGATTTGTTTGAGAAACACAAAGAAGTTAACATGTTTGGAACAGAATGGTCAAGAAGAAATGGGTATAAAATAACCTTGGAGACTAGGATCTTTAGGCTATACTAAGGGTTGTTTTTTTGTGTGTTTTTTTAATTATTTCCAAATTCAAGGGAAGCCACTGGAGAACTTTTAACATGAAATTAATATTTAAAAGCCTGTATTCCTGGAATATGGAAAAGAGCCTGTAAGGTACAAAGGTGGCAAAGGAGACCAGAGAAGAAGCAAATACAGTAATCCAAGCTGGAGAGAATAGAACACTGAACTTTGGTGGCATTAATGGAGGTGGTGAGAAGTTAGTGGAATTTAGGATATATTTTGAAGATGAGATTCTTGGAATTTTCCAGTCAACTGTTTGAGGTGGCAGAGACAGAAAAACAATTTAAGGATGATGACTAATTTTTGTTCTGAACAAAGACAGGGAAGACTGGGGAATAAATTTGGTTGAGAGACAAAGGAAGGGATTGGGTTTGGAAGAAGGCTTATAAATATATGAGAATAAAGAGTTCTGTCTTGTATATGCTCAGTTGCAGACTCCTATTGGACATAAAATATATCCAAGTGTCTAATAGGTAGTTAGGTGTATGAATCTGGAGCTCTGGAGGTCTGGAAGGAAGTCAAGGTTAAAGACTACTACTCTGGGCCTTCCTCCTATAGATGGTTTGTATGAGGAAGCAGAGAGTGATGGTAGATGGAGACAAGTGGAAGAGCTGTTTAAAGTAGGAAGAATACTAGGAGAGTGCAGTACTGCGGAAACCAGGTGAAGAAAGTGTTTCAAGAGAAAGAGATAGCCCAGCCAGTGTAGTTCAGCAAGTGAGCATTGAGCCAGGAACCAAGAGGCCACCAGTTCAATTCCAGTCATGGCACATGCCAAGGTTGTGGGCTTGATCCCTTGTGGGGGGCATGTAGGAGGCAGCCGATCGATGATGTTTCTCTCTCATTGATGTTTCTATCTCTATCCCTCTCCCTTCCTCTCTCTCAAAAAAAAAAAAATCAATATCAATGAAACATATTTGTTTTTAAAAAAGAGAGAAAGAGATAATCAACCCTGTCCATGGCTTCTGAGACATTGAAGAAGATGAAAACAGAGAACTGACATTGAATTTAGAAAGACGGTGGTCATGGGTGACTTTGACATAAGAAGTCTCAACAGAAAGGTAGATATTGAAATGAAATCAAGGGCGAAAGGGTGGCAATGAGTTGAAAGAGTCGCCGCAGATATTCTTTAGAATAAGAGTTACTGTAGGATGAACAGAGAAACAGCGAGTAGCTAACCAGAGAGGAATGTGGAGGTGAGGAAAGCCATTTAGTCCCTTGACGTAAGTCAGAACTAAGGGTTTAGAGAAAAAACTTGCCTGCCGGATAACACACGGTTTTCTGAACAGGGCTATTCAGTAAAGATAGAATGTGAACTGCCTGTGTAATTTTGTTTTCTAGTAGCCACATTTTTTTTCAAATATATTTTATTGATTTTAGAGAGAGGAAGGGAGAAGAAGAGATGGAAACATCAATGATGGAGAGAATCATTGATCGGCTGCTTCCTGCACGCCTCCCACTGGGGATCAGGCCCAAAACCCAGGCACATGCCCTGACCCGGAATGGAACTGTGACCTCCTGGTTCATGGGCCGACGTTGAACCACTGAGCCACACCGGCTGGGCAGTAGCCACATTTTTTAAGGTGAAAAGAAACAAGTGGACTTTATTTTAATAATATATTCTATTTAAGCCAATATTTAATGCATATGAAATATTATTAATAAGATGGTTCACATTCTTTTCTCCGTACTAAACCCGTCTAGGTCAGGCCTGGCCATAGTTCAAGTGCTCCATGGCCACGGGGGGCAGGTTGAAATGTTATCGAACAGCATAGCTTTAGACTAAGGAATGCCAAGCGAGTGTCAGATCCACTCCTGTGGGCATTGTTATCCTCGAGTTTCAACATACATTGTACCTCTTTTGACGAGTATAAAATTGTGTCATAAACTTAAGTGGGATAACACTGTGTATTCAGATAAATATCACACCATACCTTTTTTTTTTTTAACAAGTTACCCATAAATTGTCTTACATTTACAGTTCAGTAGAACCTTAACTCATGGTCCTATTTCTTCATATCATCAAAGTCCTCTTTTTCATGTTGACCAGAGCTGAGTCCTCCAGCTCTCTCTTCTGATCGGAGCTTCACATTTCATCACCCAAGTGATAGATCTAAAAGGCCACTTCGGTGACTGCCCAACAGCCCAGAGGTGGAGGAGAAAATATAAAGCCCTTCATGATTAGACTCTTGTCTGGCGATCTCATTTCATTTGCTTGCTCTCTTCCTTTTTGTCCTTTACAGTTTGCAAACTCCATGAGTTTCCTGGGTAAACGGCGTGCTGTTCTGGCCTCCCCAGCTCAGAACGTGCTGTTCTTTCCGTCTGAAACGATTTTCCCTTTCATCTGTCGGGGGAAGTGCTGTTCAGCAGCCAAGCCTCAATTTTCAGCCCAGTTCTGTTGAATAAATTGGCCACACACTAGTTCCTTGAGGGTAGGGATCAAGGAACTAGTTATCTAGTTATCTGTGCTTTGTTATCTTTGTGTCACCAGCATCGAGCACAGGGTCTGACGGTGAAATACATGTGATATATTTGTTGACATAACCTAACTGTATGATACCTTTCGACTCCGTTGTAAATTACGAACAGGAAGAAATGTTTTAAGTCATTCCTCTATTTTATTATTACATTTCATGGAATTCTGTTTTCACTGTTTTGATTGCCGATGGTAAAACACGGTCAGTGTTTTTACTTTATTTCACTTGCAATACATTTCACTTCCCTGAACTACTGAGAGTGGAAGGCCTGATGGGAAGTCTCATTATTTCTGGAACACAAGCCACTAGATAAAAAAATAAATAAATGTGAAAGACGACAGGTCTCCAAATCCCACATCAGATTTTGGTGAGTTTTCAGGGGGAAAAAAATTATCTTAGGCCACACTTAACAAAGAATAAAATGATCAGATTTTAATTAAATATTAAATATTAAAATGAAGTGTTCAACTTATTCCACACAATTACCCGATTTGAATAGTTATGTGAAACAAACAGAAATAAAAGCCTCTGATAACTCGCATCATCTTTCCCAGGATAGCACAATTATTTGCTATATAAACAGTTATAACCAGACATAACAAGCTCTTTTATTTTAAGTGTTGGGTACCAGAATGAGGCTATTTCTTAAGGCTTGTAAAAATTCTAGTTTTACAGCTTCCCAGGAGAGCCAGGCATCTCTTGAGAAGAAGTGAGCAATAAAAAGTAATCAAAACAATCTCTCCTTTCCTCTGGCAAACGCTGGAACCAATATAAATAGATCCTAGGAACATCCTTTAACCTGGGAACACCATTCATAACAGACGGGGGTGGGAGTCACAATCCCCCTTCCTATTTCCTGCGGTCCTCTTGGCCTGGGGGAAAAAAAAGCCAGCTGGGACTATTTATGAAGGAAACAGCAATGAAGGAGAAAATTTGGGTACAAGATTAGATAGAATTAGGACGAAAAGTGAGGCTGGCTGGCTGATAGCACCCCTCAATACAATTCTATTTTGTCCACACTGGCCCCTGAACTTCTGAGTTTTTTTGTGTGTGTTTTTGTTTATTTGTTTGGTTTGTTAATCCTCACCCTATCATATTTTTTCCATTGATTTTTAAAGAGGGGGGGGTAGGTGGGGGAGGGAGAGAGAGAAACATTGATGAGAGAGAGACCCATCAATTGGGTACCTCTCGTACATGCCCGGATCAGGGCCGGGGACTGAACCTGCAACCCAGGTACATGCCATTGACCAGGAATCGACCCCGTGGCCCTTGGGTGTGTGGGCCGGTGCTCTAACCACTGAACACACCAGCCAGTGCTGAACTGTTTTTACCACTTCCTGTTTCCATGAATTCTCCTTACATTTTCAGGCCTATTGAAACCCATGCTTTCATGACCTAACAAGCATCTCAGCACAGTAGGGATGAACATTTCTTTTAGACAATGATTTTTCACTTCACGGAAAGTTCTCATCATTCACAATATGGTCATGGAAACTGATCACATTCTCTCTTGATTTTTTGGCTTTCCTACCCCTGACCTAGGGCTTCCGCTACTATGAAGGGGCAGGATTAGAAGCACACAGTTTGTTCCAAGCTGTGAATTCCTCTCTTAGTCATAGTCAGTGTTTGGATGCCAAGTCTTGTTTACAAAGCACCTGGGTAAACACTTTGTCTGCCAGTGATCTTTTCTATTTCTAAAATTAATCCTCAAAATAGAAGGTTTTGCTCTTTTAAGCAAATTCTCCATTATGTAGAAAGGGTTTGGGGGCGAAAGTATATACACAGGATCCCAAAACACTGCACTTCCTTGGTTCTGGTTCTGAAATTCCCCATTGAGTCACTTAGTGGCTCAATGCTGAGAGCCCTCGAGTGTAATTAATGTGATAGTAAACAGACCGTCTGGCCACATGCATCAGCAAACCCTCCTTTCACAAGCACACGTACAGGTTTATTTTAACACTTGGGTTTGGGTTTTTCCACAGCTATTAATATCACTCAGCCCAGGTTCAGTGGCATGGGTGCCTTCGGATACACTTCATTCCTGGCTTATTCGAGGATCCCAGACATCAGCTTCGATTATGAATTCCACTTGAAGTTTCAGCTAGCAAACAACCACTCGGCACTGCAAAATAACGTCATCTTCTTCACCGGGCAGAAGGACCATGGTAAGATTAATTGAACCCTCCAGGACTTGCTTAGCTCCTTTAAGAAAACTTGGGAGATTCTTCATGGACACTCTAATTGGCTGTGGATAAAGGAGACATTTGCTTAGATGCAGCCTCCTCCTGTTTTCTGCTTCGAGCATGTTCCTTGTAGCCCTAGGCGTTCAGCAGTTCCCTGACCTTCTCTGCAACCTTGCTCACACCCGGGCTACCTGTTACAATCAAGGGCAAGAATTCCCGCAGGCAAACAGGAGGGTGGAGAAGGTGACCCGGTCACATGAGAAGTGAGCTTATTGGCTTGTCCTTTCCTCTGATTGTGTCACATAGAAGGAGAGAAGGGAAAGTCTCCATAAAAAGAGCCTTTGACCGTGTGTTGGGAAATGGGAATTGTTGCCATCAAAGAAAGCTATTTCAAATTAAAGGGCTGGCGTGCCTCCGTGGTTGAGGGTTGACCTTTGAACCAAGAGGTCACGGTTCAATTCCCAATCAGGGCACATGCCCAGATTTCGGGCTTGATCCCCAGTGTGGGGCGTGCATGAGGAAGCTGATCAATGATTCTCTCTCATTATTGATGCTTCTACCTCTCTCTCCCTCTCTCTTCCTCTCTGAAATCAATGAAAATACATATTTTTTTAAATGAAGAAGGTTTTCGGCCTGTACCAAAGTACACCAGTGCCCTAGAAGTGGTGGGAAATCACCTCGTAAGTTAAATTTGTCTGTCTTAAGTAGAAACCAGTTATGCACCTCTGAGGGTCAAGGAAAAGCACACACGTTTTACTCCCAAGTAAACAACCAACTAGTTAGGCAATTAATCACTTACCTCCTCTGAGCTCAGTGTCCTCATCTGTGAAATGAACACATCACACTGGAGAGAGACCTTTCTGCCAACCACCGGCAGTTCTATGGTGCTGGGGCCAATAGCATTCTGTTCTTTCCAACTCCCTCAGTGACTCTCCTCACACTGCACATCGGTTTCCATAGTAACACCTGCAGGAAAGGAGCCTGCCCCTGGAGAAGTATAATGGGCCAGCCCCCACCTCCTCCACTGGATGGGGGCACTTGATCATGGGAGGTGCTGTTCATTCTATCTCCAAAGTCTGTTCCTAACTGGTCTTCCTATGGCCTTTCCTGCCTGCAATCCATTCTCCAAGTTGCAGCAAGAATTACCTTGTTAAAAGGCGTCTCATCATATGTGAACCCTGCTTAAAACCCACCTGACTTTCCACTGTGCTCAGAATGAAATCCAAACCTTCCTACCATGTTCTCGAAGGGCCTCACCTCCACTCTAACTCCACCAGGCCGCTCCCACCATCTCCGGGCCCCTCCCCACAGATCTTTCCCAGGGCCTTAGTCACCCACGCTTTTCCCGGCCTCGGCCTCGGGGACTTAGTGCATGCTCCTCCCTCTGCCTGGACAGGGAATGGCCATCAGAGTGGTTGCGAGAGCAGGCCCTGGGGCCTAGCAGTGTAGACTTACATCCAGTTTCCACCACTTACAACTTATGTGTTGTCATTCACCTGTCACATGGGCATAATAATGGTACATTCCCTGGTAGAGTTGTGAGGATTAACATAGTTAGCACATGCAAAGCACTTAAAATAGCCTGGAACTCCATGAACACAGTAGCCTGTATTTTCTTCAGGAGGCCTTCCCAGCCACCTTCACGAAAGTAGGTTTGATCCCACCCCACCCAAGTTATTCTCTACCTCACCTTCCTATTTATTTCCTGAAAGTCCTTACCTCAAGGTACAATTCCTTTATCCATGTTTAGGTAGTTGTTTCTTGTCTGTCACCACCAGAGAGTGGGAGCTCTGTGTGGACACAGACCAAGTTGTCCCCATTTGATTTTATATGCCCACACTTAGCACACTGCCTGACGCATAATCAGTACTGAATGAATGGATAAGAGAACCACAATAAGTACAGATAACTGCAAAAAAAAAATTTCTCATAGAACAGATAGTTGTATGATATGTAAATAGGCAGCACGGTTGTACAAAGGTACGTACTTAAAAAGCAGCCTTTATTAGGGGCTCCAGGTCAGGTGCCATCCTCTCCATCAGGATGTCCCCGGAGGCTTCCTGCCCCACCTCCTTTGGTCAGTGCCCCCTTCCTCTGAGTCCTGATAGCCTGCCCTGCACTTGGGCCTGGACGCTCTGTGCCCGGCTGTGGTTGGCTAGATAGTTCTCCTCTTTTATAGAAACGGTGTCCCAGTTATCACTATATCAATCACAAAGCTTCCCCTGGGTGGTTTTAGTAACTAATCTGTTGAATGGCTGCCGGAAGTCACAGAGGGAAGAGGGAAGAAAGAAGGAATTCCTACCCCTCACTCTTTAATCCTCACACACTTCAGCATGTTTATCAATTATATCCTTTTCATTACAAAAAAATAAAAAGTAGAAAATAAAAAATTCAAAGGAGCATTACACCCCCTGGGCCCTTCTTATTTTAAAGCGTATCTTCTAAATCCCGAACGATTCGCAGAGGGAGAACCCAAGCAAAGCATCAACACTTGGTCCATGAAAATACTGCACCAAATAACTCTTCAATACTCTGCTACTAAACACTTTCAAAATTCTCCAAAAATAAAATAAAATAAAACAATAACTAATGTTTGGGCCACAGTTTTTCTAAATTGTGGAATTTCACATATAACATTTTCTGGGTTTCTCTACTCATCTTATTTGTATGGATGGATAGGAAGGCTAATTCTGCACTTGGCATTTGTAGGTTGGCAGCATGGCTAAGTAAAGGCTAGATGAACAGGTAGATAAATTGTGGAGCTCTAGTTTCTAATCAGTGAAAAGAAATCTGAAACATGCAATTCCACATTATACCACCTGAGGGAGCAAGAACACCAGCTAAAAAAATGCAAATAGCACTAAACTGATTTTTAAGGCAATGCTTCTCCAAGTAGGACCACTTCATGTCTGTATCAGAGTCACATGGGGGTTTGTTAAAAGGCTAATTCCCAGGCCCTCTTGAATTAAATAGTAGAATGTTATCAAGCACCTTTGGTACTTTTTACACGACTAATATTTGAGAGCACCCTCTCAAAACCTTTAGGGCCCATCTAAATTAGACCATGTGTGGGGATGGACTAAGATATGTAGTCATTGCCCATAATGTAATATGTAGGAATGATGTGTCCACTTGTGTATCACAAAGTTATTCATTCAAGAGATGCATATTTCTCTAAAATATTTATTGATTAATATTAACCACACGATTTGAAATTATCTATTCTACATAAAAAACTATGATCCAAACCAGTTTGTTTTTCATGGTGGTAATAGCTCCACATTTAGGTGTTATTCTTTTCTTTTTAATTTTTTTTTGTTATTGTTAATCCTCACCCAAGGATATTCTTTCTATTGAATTTTTAGAGAGAGTGGAAAGAAGAGAGAGAGGAGGGAGAGAGAGAGAGAGAGAAACATCGATGTGATAGAGATACATTAATTGGTTGCCTCCCACACGCACCCCGACAGGGTCTGGGGATGAACTGCAACCCAGGTATGTGCCAGGAATTGAACCCACAACACTTTGGTGCACGGGCAGGTGCTCTAACCAGTGAGCAAACCAGCCAGAGCTAGGTGTTACTCTTTTTTTTTTTTTTTTTTTTTTTTTAGTTGTTATTCTTGTTTAGTAGCATCAATCTCTGATCTGCATACTGGTTGTTACTATTAAAATTACCATTCCATATGCTGCCTTTATCTTCCTTAGGTTAAAAGATGCACAAAGCCACAGAGTTTCTATAATAACTTGAAATGTAAAGCCAACCTCTAATGCTGACATGTCTACATAAGAAGGCGAGGGACCTTCATACCCCAGCACTGATTACACTCTTCCCTGAGTCTCCCTACGCTGCTCACCAGTTTTTCCAGACTTTATTCTCATTGAACTCTCTGGAAAAATTACCCTTTCAAACAATTCAGCTTGAAAATCTCTCTTGACTTGTGATTGTAACCTAACCTAATCCTCTTCCTGTGCTCCTGCAGTCATATTTGGCATTTCCTTCATTGTCTCTTCTTCCTTTCCTACCCCCACACCCTTATATTGTATGTCCTGTGGTTTATTCTTCTAGAAATCACCTGCATGTCCAGCAGTGCACAGATGAATACGTACATAGGTGTCCTCTCCTGTGTCCCTCCTTTGGGACTGGCGTAAAGGTTCTGCTCCAGCCAGAAACCCAGGAGGCACCTGGATATCCATCTCCCTTTCACTCACTTGGCAACTACTTCCTGGGAACCTAGATGAGACATTCTTCAAGGTGGTGGAGAGACAGTTATGACCAAGATAGGCAATGTCCTTGTCTCTCTCCATGTTATCCCCCATGTTCTACCAAATGCCATCGCCCGTCCATTTTACCTCCCCATGACTTGTTTTTTATCTTCTCTTTCTATCGTCTTTCTTCTCCTCATTGCCCCCAGCTTCTCTGCAATAGCCTCCGTTCCAATCCCTCTGCCCAGTCATGTCCCTCTTCCCCTCTACTGTCCATTTTGCTCCAGGGGACCTAACATATAAGTGCAAACATTTCTTGCCCAATCAACATGCTTGATCATAACCTACACCCAAGATCTTCTGCATAATTACACAGAGGTTTACCCATCCCATTAGTACAATCTGTGTTTCCTTCGATCCGCTCTCCACTCAGCAGGATTCGTGCACGTGTGTGTTCTGGGTCGTGTGGCTACGTCCTTGCTTCTGTGCTTTTGCACAGGCTGTTCCATCCTCCTGAGCGAGGCACCCTTCACTTTGTGCCTCCAAAACACGTCTGTCCTGTAAAGCCTCAGCTGAAAAGATCATTCTTCTTTGAAGTCTTTAACACTTCCAAGAACATTTAAGACTTAGTCTCACTGCAGTTGGCTGGTAACAATTACAATGTTTTACTATAACTGTTGGGACCTCTTTGAGAATTATACCATGGCTTTTCTTTCTTATATCAATAGTGGCTGCCACATATAGGCAACTCATTACAGTTTTTGAAAGGTGTAATGCCAAAA